AGATTGTTATATGCTTTCGGCGTACAATATACAAATATCGAAATAACCGAATTGTTATGAATGAAGTTCAGTCAAATATATATAGATTAAATATCGAAGCGTTAGAAATGACGACATTTAAATGTTGAAACGCGAAAGACATTTTGTTTCTTACTCCTACACTTGGACTGATTTTCAAATATAAATAATTTGTAATTAATACTTTTCTTTTACAGATATCGGTCTTCTCACTTTATAAAGATTTTACAGTTGGTTCCCGCTCTTCTTCTGCTCTCTCCTACTGACCCGAAAAGACCAGCTGCCCTCAGGAATTATACAAAATTAGGTTGTACGTGTGCTTAGAAAAGTAAATAAATCGGTACGAGTGTTTTCGGTGGTTTAGTTTTTTATACGTCAGTGTATTTTTTATTGGGAAAACGTTTTTTTCGTTTTTTAAATGTGTAATGAAGAAAAAAAAAAATTAAAAAAAATTAAATATGTATTATTATATATTTATCAATTCTTTGAAAAGTAATTAGAAAAAAACAAGCTTAAAATGGTACTTAAAATATGTACAAAATTATTTAGTGTTAAATATCTGAAAACTTAAATAAGGTTACCACCAAGCTGCCTTAAACAAACCAAATAAATCATTGAGAAATCCAGATTTCTTTTATTAAAACTTTTACAAAACCTAAACAATGTTTATAATGATATATACACATATTTTTATATAAGTATATTATATTTTTATACTTACCGCCGAAAACAAAAGGTTTACTAATTTTGTCATTTCACTTATAACATTTACAAACTCGATAGATCGGTTTGTCTTTTGTCAATATTCTCTAAGTCTCAAAAATTCAGAAAGTTGATTGAAACTTTATCGCTACGTTTCCTGAATCATCTTGTATTGTGAAACAATTTGGAAAACGAAAATCTTAATTAGAGATTAAAGGTTTATACGGTTTATACTGCGCTTCTGTATTATACATCTGAAGTTTGATTCGAACATTAAATGTTCAGGTTAAAAATAATTTATTTCGGCCAAATCAAAATACATTTCTTAAAAAAGATTACTTGAGATGCCGGCCATTCAAAATTCGTCTTAACCTGAACATATATCACTTACTTAGTTTTAAACTCTTATTACACCATTTAAGTATAGTTGTAAAAGTTGTTGGTGAAATAATAATGTTGTTTAAAAAAACCCAAAATCGAATTGTGTCGAAACCGTTAATAATAAAGAGAGAGAGAGAGAGAGAGAGAGAGAGAGAGAGAAAGATAAAAAACAAGTTGAAATAAATGCCTTCGGTTTTATAAGCTGAAGGAAAAAGATCAAATGTATAGCAATTTAAGACAACATAGCGCTCTCTTCTAAGTTTCAGTTAAAGCTTTTGCCCATTAAGTTGTGCTGCATGTGTTAGACAACTTATAGACGTTAAGACAGTGGGGAGTTATCATTAGTTGGCAAGATTTTCAGCAGTGCTGTTATATAAAGCGCTTGAACTCCGAAGTGTGGCTTTGTGCAGTTAAACATACTTTGTAAGTAAATAATTTCATGGTATAGAATAAAATGCGGAAGATAATAAAAATGTAATGTTTCAATTATGCAATTATTATGTAAACCGGTTTCTTATTTAAGTCACATTCCGTTTCGCGAGAGTTCAATAATAAGTTCAATAACATTTGCTGACACTATTATCAGTTGTCTACTTTGGCTTTAGCACTACTGACCCTGACCGACATAGTCGAAATTCACTGTTTTGGGTAATAAAAGAAACTTGTTTTTTTGAAGAATTGTATAAAGTGTGTTTATGTATAAGAGTTGGATAAAGGAAATTTTACTAAATAAATTGTAATTTGATCCAAGACTCCTTGTTTTTCATAGATACGAATGTGCATTCGCACGATCTAATATTGAATTAAATTAGAAAACATACACAGTTGTAATCTTCCTGTTGAAAATGGGCAAATAGTGTGTCTCACTTTTATATGCTTCTTTTGAGGTTACATCGTAAGCTCTACTCTAGTCTTAAATTATATAATTTCATCATAGAATCACGTATGGAAAATTCAACTTCCGCCAAACAGTGAAAGGAAACGTTTAACTACCTGATTATTTCCCCCAAGTACCTTCTTAATGAGGTGCAAGACTTGAACAAATTTTTGTTTTTTCTTCAAGATTTGAATTCAGTCCCTTCAGTGACTTCATGCGGATCAACGGCGATTTGCTTAGTGATTTTTTGGGAAATGGTCATGTGTATACGATAGATTTATTTATTTGCCTAGTTCGGGATTTAAGTTTGCTTTAACACAAGTATACATACATACATACATACATTATATTCTATCCTTGTTCCAATCAAGATCGCATCATTAGATGTGCGAGCACATCTCAAATAGATATTTGATTTTGATTTACCTTGCAGTTTCACTTTTAGCATCCTTTTTCTGCGATGCACTGATTGGCCAATGGCCGATCAAACGATGATATTAACGTCTTTAGGATATGGAGCATAAAAGTTATTACAATTTCTTTATTATTTTTTATATTAATTTTAAAAGCATTAAGTTTAAATAATCTTTTATCTCTTCACTTAGCTTAGCATTTCTTAACCTAAAGGCACTTTCTTTCACTATGCTAACCGAAAATGAAGAAATCGTTTTAGTGACTGGTGGTAGCGGATTTATAGGTCAACACATTCTACATTTACTTTCATGCGACATGTTCAAGTTGGGTATTAAAGAGATACGATCAGTGGACTTGGAATCCTACAAGAATACAACAAATCGTAAATAATTGATTTCATTATTAAATATCACATTATATCAAGAGTTAATGTACGCAATTTGCGATGTTTTCCAGCTGAAAGGGAATGTACGGTAGCGGTACGTTCGTTTATTGGTGATATAAGGAAGCCTGAAACGCTTTTAGATGCTTTTCGGGGAGTGGATACAGTTTTTCATTGTGCTGGCTTGATTAGCTTGCAGTATCCACCAAATTATGCAGAACTGGATGGACATAATGTCGATGGTATGTAATTAATAAAATTGGTATTGGCAGATTGTTGACGAAATATTTTGAGATATTCAGGTACGCGAGCGGTGGTCGAGCTATGTGTGCAGCAAAATGTTAAGCGTTTGATTTATACAAGTTGCGCTTCGGTGTGCATGGTGCCGTTTAAGGGACATAGTACCTTTGCCATGGTAATTAATCAAACTGAATCGAAGGCGACAACTCCAAAATATGATGCACAGAATCCTAATAATTTTGACGGACGTTTTCTAATAACCGGTTATTCATCCTCCAAACTACGAGCGGAAACTATTGTTCTCAATTCGAATGGCGCCTTGCTTTATAATCAAAAAGGTTATTTGACTACGACGGCCATTAGGCCGCCCCTTACTTACGGTGAAGGCGATCAACATTTCTTACCCAAGATTTTAACATATTTACGGCAACGTGATTTTATGTATCCTAGAATAGCCGGAGCTGGTGGCAAACAACAAATAGCTTATGCTGGTATATGTTTTTGTTTTATCTAAGCGAAAGGCAAAATAACGAGATTTTCTTTTTTTTTTCTCTTAATAGGTAACGTTGCTTGGGGTCATATATGCGCCTATAAAACTTTGAAAACTTCAGCCAAAAATATAGCTGGCTTGCCTGTATTCATTACGGATGATACGCCCATTAATGATATATCACGTTTTATACAGAAAATCGGTTTGGCTAGTGGAAAATATACGGCACAACGAACCGCTTGGTATTTGCCACATTTTCTATTTTTCCTTATGGCGACTTTAATTGAATTATTTATAAAATTCTTGACTCCGGTAAAGAAGATGAAACTTGAATACTCCTTGCGAGCTATTAGTTCTTTTACTGCATCAGTAATGATGTTCAATCGTTTGCGAGCAGCTATACACATGGATTATGTACCTTTAGTTGAGGCGGACGTTGCTATAGAGAGAACTGCTAAATGGGTTTCCAAGTGGTTTGAAGAGAACCATTCTATAGAAACGAAGGAAACCCTTAAGAAACATTGCTGATGATAAAAAATTTCCACAAAATTAATAATATTAAAAATAAAAAAAAAAACTGTTTCTGGTGTTAGTCTATAAAAAAAAAAAAACAAAAAAATGCAAAGTCATTCCCTTCCTAACTACTCCGGCCTTTTTCTCGTTATTCTCTTTTTAAATATGCATGCAAATGTTTTTTTAATAAATACCTACGCATGTCATCCAGACTAAGAATCAAACATAACATAATCGTATACAAAGAATTAAGAAAATTATATTCGCCTACGACCGAATCTTTTATACACACACATCACACACACATATTTTGCAAAAGATTAGGAAAGGAGAAAACCAAATTTCCATACTCTATACATATGACCTCTGCAAATGCGTCTATCGACAGAAATGTGAAGAAAGAGCTAATCCACCACGTCGTGACGTCAATTTTTTGCTTTCAATTAAGTTCAAAGTTTCGTTTATTTGGTATTCAATTGTATACTGCTAAGGAAAAGCGAAGCCTTCACGTTGTGGAGTTCACCATCTTTGTTTTAGAATAAACACATTTTTGGACATGTAATACGTGTTCATGTGCACAATACTCAGAATAATTTTCAATATTCTGTGTTGGTTATCTTATGGGTAATAATCAGAAAGTGGAAGTTTTGTGTGTCCGTGACCGATTTTTGCCATTTTGATGCAGGTGCAGTAGGACCGTCCACAAAAAACAAAACATTGCATCTGTTGCGGTTAATAAGCAACGAGCAAAAATTTCATTTTTTTTATTTTTGAAAACAGAGGCGTCTTCAGATTATGTATTACTATGGGTGCTCACAGGTTTTGTTGAACGGCGTGCCGTGGGTCTTGTAGGCGGTTTGTTTTAATCGGTTGGGGACATTTTAAAATTTTTCTCCAAATTTGTACGCCATGTCTTTATTTTTGCGAGCGAGAGAATGCTTATCACCGACGCTATATAGTTGAAGAAACAGACAAATGGAAAGTAGGAATGGCGGGCATGCTTAGATGCGTTCCGATTTTGAAAATGGCCAAAAGAAGTTTGCTTCTGCGCGCGATATTAATTAAATTTTGATATACTATAATATTGGGTAGGCGCGTTCAGTTGTTGAACCAAAAATAGGCCGAGTTGGTCCAAATTTGGTACAATTAATTTTTTTATGTTAAGTTACTATTATGACATAATTTTCATCAAGAAGCATTGAAATTTATATCTTTTTATCGTATGAACTTCAGTTTTCGTTATATGAGAGGGAGTCCAAAAATTGCCCCAGCCCAAAGTCCAAAGTTTTAATACCAATTTAGAATGCCGATATACTATTACTTAGGCACTTTTGCCTAGAAATTTTGAAAATTACTATTTTTTCCCATATAACGAGTTTTCTTTGGGTCAGAACACGTCACTGTACCGAATTTCATCCAAATATCTGAAGAATTGCGATCGGTAGCTTGAACACAAAAAAGGTGGGTTTATTTTAAGCCCTTCTGCGTGTTGCATACGTCTACATACATCTACTTAAAAAAGTAGAATTTTCAATATTTGACGGTGAAAATAATAGGTTGGAGGGAAAGTTCTGCCGTATTTTATTTATGTACTTTGCTTTAACACAAACGCAAGAAATTTAATGTGATCTCCAACAGTTGTGTGACGAATGCCTAACTCTTCTCGACTTTTTAAATGTGTGTGTTATTTTCCAACATCGATCGCAAAACATCATTATCGATCACTTCCTTGGAGGCTCAGATCCCCGGAACGAAATTTGCTAAACCATCTTTGACAAGAACGAACATTTACAAAATCTTTTCCAAATACCGCACATAAATTTTTACATGCAACCGATACGTTCCTTCTTTTTTGGAATTCATACAAAATCCAGTGTCATAAATGCACTTTATCTACCGACATGTTTTTCACTTTAAATATCACAAGTAAATGATGAACGGTAAAAAAAGATTCCTTTCATACTGTTAAAGAAATCCCAAATTCTGTTCATTCCAGCGAAGTAGTAAAATCCCTAAAGAAGAAAAAACTAAATGCATATTCGTAGCGCGTCATGCAGCTGCCGGCCGAGGAAAACGAGCGCCAGAAAACCGAGTTAACGAATTAAAAATGAAACTACAAAAATTCAGTACTAGTAATATGATGGTAAAAACGTATATAAATAGAATATTTGTGGAAGGGAGAGTTAGTAGAAAAAGAATTAAAGAGTTAAGCAGTCGAAAGTATTGCGAAAAATAAATTGTGAATAATCCTACATTTAAAGAAATATAATTGTAAATAAAAGAACTTTGAAGTGTATTTCCCTTGACCAAAATATCCACGATCTAGTGGTACGAATCGTCTAATAGAAAACTGGAAATTTGTAACAATACTATACAGCAGCTAAAAAAACAAAAAAAAAAAAAAAAAAACAAGATCCGAATGACTCACTAGCCAGATGTCTGTTTTTATTTACAAGAAAACTTACCTGCCTATTTAAAATACGACAGAACTTTGCCTTCAACCTAATAGGTTCACAATAGTTCGCAAATTAACAAACGAATCAACACTAGCGAATTTGGGCCATGTAGGCGTATATTTTGGATACCAGGTGGATGGGGGGATTCTCAGGAAATGTAATTTCCTGTAATAGGGCAATTGTTAACATTTTATGATGAAAATTTACTCCAATTGTTAGGTGGACCAAATTTGAATCACATGAGTCTATTTCTTCAACCCCACTCAATATATAATTTTTTATGAGTAGAAAGACTTTCATAGAAGATTTAGTTTCTATTATATTATGATGAAAATTAGTCTGCAGCAGCATTTTGGCAAAATAATTAAGAGTCGGGAATTTGGATCAGATAGGGATATATTTTAGACCCGAATAAATATAGAGGCTGTCATGAAAAGCAAGCCTTTACATGGAGTGAGTGTCTAATTTCTAGTCTTTTATGATGGAAAATGAAAAATAATAAGATTTTTAGGAAACAAACTTATTTTGCAAAATCTGGATCACGTCGTGTTACGTTTTGGGCATCCTCCAATATGCGGGATTTTACGAAAAGTATGCGTTTGCATGAAAATAATTCAAAATTTTTGTGTAAAGTATCTAATTGCCCGGCCTGCCCGACCATAATATGCTTACTTGTTATCGCATATGAAGCTTAATGTTTGACAGCGTTATACTTTTGCAGTTGTTATCATGCGGCCCGTTTTTTTCCGATTCTTGATTCAACTTGTTTTTTATAGAAGATTTTATTCTGCCTCCTTTCCCACATTATCATTGTCAATAATGACATCTCCTTATTATTTCTGCCCGTATATCTTAGTTGTAATATTCTCAAATTTCGCTAAACTTACTTCTTCATTAGATCTTCTTCCGTTTTCTCCACTTTTTGGATTTTTTCTTTACGCTTCACTATGGATAGAAAAGAGGACGTTCCCTTTTATATTATAGGTGGTTCAGAACAGTTCAGCATTTTCGGATACGAGCTTTGCAGCGCTATATATATTTCTCTGAAGTTTGTAACGAAAACTAAGGATTTCTTTTTTTACTATTATTATTTTTATTATTATTATTATTAATTTCGCCAGAGAAATAAATTCTAAAAGCTCTAGCATCTAAGGGTATCGGCTTTTATTAAAAACTCTACCGCACTTGAGATTCGAACCCACGACCATTGACTTGCTAGTCGAGATTCTTCGCCTTCGGCTACTCAGGCGGATTCTTTTTTTTAAATTAATTGCTTTGCTCGTTATTCAATTTTACCGCGCCTTTATTGACGGATTGATTAGATATTTTCGTTAGTTGCTTTCATCATGCGATTTTCGTCTTTTTGATATGATTTGATTTCATTTCCATCTTTGCCAAATGATTGTTTAAATTCATACCCTCATGATCGTTTCAAATATATAGATATTTTGTCTATAGATCGTTCGTGCAATCATTTTAGATGAACTTTATTCATTTGTTAGTGTTGAGTAAATTAAAGCTTGTTTGATTTAGGCCGCTGCAATTTTATTGATTGAATGGTAAAGTTTCCCGCAAAAGCCATTGCATGGTATTCCCGTATTCCCTTCAACTGCATTTTTGCATTTTTAGCATCCGATCGTGTTCGGAATCCACTGATTTACCATCGAAGTTTCACTGAGTTTATATGGGAACAGAATGATTTATTTAGCTAAGCTATATTCCTAAGGCCAAGCTTACGTAAACGTTACTTTCAGTTAATTATCCTATCAATGATAAATGTCTAATTAGCTTATTATAAACTTGAATAAAGCAAAAAATGGAAACTTGAAATCTGCTCAGTCTAGTCTATTTAATTATGATCATCTTCTCTACTAATAGAAATGTTTGATTTTTAGTATTAAGCGAAAATTATCACGATTTATCGATCTCGCCGCAAGAACACTTTCCGAGAGCGGAATTTTCAATCATCTTAAACGCATATTTGTTTTTAAAAATGTTATTTACTTAATTATTGCCCTTTCGTATGCGTGAAAGTTTGTATCAAACAAGTCGTTTAAGTAAAATGTATATTGAAAATAGAAGAAAAAAACGTTTAAGGAAATACGGTTTTTCTTAGCCCGCGAAACCCGTGCAAGCCCATAACCCACCTATTCGCCAATTATTAATTTTCTGCTTAAGCTTAGCACGCATATTTACAAAGCAAGCTCCAAACACATACACAAAACTTTTAAATTGAAACAAAAATATTTTAAATACGTTCACTATTAACCGAGCTTAAATATTCCGAGCGCAATCTTTTTCATATTCTAACCAATAACGATTGAAATTAATGCGATTTTTATCTGCAAGATTGCAGATAACTTAACACGTTGGCAGTCACTTTAAAATCGGCGAGTACCTCAAAGTGTTCCATGCTACTAAGAATATAGGACGTATGTAAATGTCATTTACGTCAACGGTTTAATCTGAAAATTTACTTAAACCTAAGTCCGTAGTTCCAAAGGTAAGATAAAGAAAACGAGAACGAGACTCATGCCTAGCAGCTATCAATAGCGTTATCGGCAAGAGAGGCAAGAGAGAAAAGTGCCTAGATACTTTACACGAAACAGTTATTCAGATTCAGTAGGAATCAAGATTGTACTTTGCTATTAATATGCTTACTAAGCATAGCCAAGAAACTGACAGCAAGAGCCAGCCTTGTCTCCTCTAGGGAATTTAGGGCAATTAAAACGACCGTGTCCTCATAAAGCGAAAGTGTGATTGCGTTGCATTTTCTAATGTTCAAGGACACATCATTAATCTAGGAACAACAGCTCAGGTTCAGGTCGATCGAAGCCAGTCATATCTTACGA